AACCTATGTTTGTTAAACTTAATAGGGACATAATTCGTAGACAGTAAAACAGTAAACCCCAAATGATGGTTCAGGTCAAAGGTTAAGGTCACAGTGACAGTTTGTGCAAAATCCTTATCTAGAAAGAATTAGCCTGACTTTGTTAAGTTTCAAAATAAGGGAATTGCCCAATTAGCCAGTGAATTTGAGGTCAAGGTCATAATGAAACTTAAAGTCTTCTCTAATAAATAAATGAGAGTTTCACTAATCATAAGTTTGTAAAAATTTTTAGTCATAATACTGTTACTTATATTAAGATAACACTTAACTTTTATGAAATAATTGCATAGGAGCTTTTCTTAGAAGAGATACGGTAAATTATTTTATATCACCTATTAAATTACCATTAACAAGATTATACAGTGGCCGAAAGCTGATTTAATACTGATGAAATAATTCATCATCTGATAAAAGACTTTTGGGGTATTTATTTGAGCGGGAGCAATTATTAGAAGAGATACGGTATTTTATATATATCAAGAGCTTCATTACCATTAACAAGGTTATGCCAGTGGCTGAAAGTGTTGTCATTGATTAATGGTGTTAATGAATATATAAAAAATATAATGCAAGATTATTCAAATCAAAGATTAGAGATACGATAACAATGGCCTTTTGGGTATTTTACAGGCTATATTTGCTACATATTTGTCATTAAATACAAGAAACTTTTGAATCTGAAAATTGTTTTTTTGTTAAGGTTTTTTTGCGCAATGTTTTAATCTAAATAATCATGTGTTTGTCAGCTTAATGTTAAGCTTTAGCCAGCTGGCGGCATTGAACTGAATCTACCCATGTGATCAGTGAAGACCAAGGTCCGCACCATCTGATTATGATCTGCACTGTTAGCACTTCAGTCATCATGTATTTTGAAATTTTCCCTAAAACAATGAATGGTTTTGTCCAGATTTAAAGATGGACAAACCCATTTAAGATATTAAGGGTAGCAAAGGCTTTAAAACAGTGATATGAAGACCATATCAAGCAAGTTAAGTACCATAATTTCCATTAACAAACAAAGCTGAAATGAAGGGTTAAATGCACATTAGGAGACTGTTTTTCACAAGTTTAATGTTACTTTATCTCTGTGTCGTTATATTTTTCTGGTCCTTGGGGATGATTGATTCCAATACTTTTAAGTACTGCTTTTAAATGTAACTACAGCTTTGTGTGAAATATTGTACTTTCCAGGATCTTTCATGAACAAAATTACTCAAATGTAGCCTACAATTTTCAAATTTTATATTTGTTTTCTCATTGCTCAGGATTGATTTCCCCTTTTTTCGGGCTGCCTGCAGAACTTGGGCTGATTTGATTGGTTTGAGACCCCGGCCGTTTCCCCCTGATCCTCACTCTGCACTTTGTCATTGTCCATAATTGAAATGTTTGTCAACCTTCAGGATGTAAAGCTTTTAAGGTCAAGTTTAAGTAGATATGAAAAACAGTGGACATCAAAGTGTCTTGAGACACTGTATGGATGGAGATGTAAGCCTTGCTCTGTAGTGGTGACAGTAGAGACTTTAAACAGCAAAATTGGTCACAGCACTTGTTAAACTTGATGAATTGATTGTAAATATATATACACTCGTTCCAAGGCAAGCTTTACTACTTATCATGATTGTTTGTGTATATATACATTGTATATATATATATATGTATCTGTATATATACAGAGTATAATTGGAAACCAATATGTTACATTACTGTTAATAATGTATCCATGATTCCATGTAGGGTAATGCCCTTTGTTTTCACTAAGAACTATTTCTTTGTTAACCTTAGTTTGATTATGCTTCCATGGCTAAAGTCATGTTTCTTTGTTAAATCGGGTTCAACATTTTTCTCTTTTATCCACCCACCCTAAATGTTTTGGCGTAAATTCATGTAACTTTTTCCACCAGCTATATGCCATTTGTCATACTGTTATTTCGCACTACCAAATATACTAGCAGGATGTTGCAATTTTCAGCTACACTTTTCCACCATCTTTCATTGTTAGGTTGTTTAATTACCACCCAGTCTCTTGATATATTATCATTTTCGTTTTTCTCCAAATTTATGTATTAAATTAGTTTCTGAAACTGATTACATAAAGTATGGGGTCAAAGTCTTGAATTTTTAATAGCAGCAAGGAATGATTGGCAAGCTTACTTACAGAATCAGAATGTAATGTTTCTTCTAAGAAGATATGACATCAGAATTATGAAACAGTTTGAAATTGTATGCTGCAGTGAGAAGCGATTAAATTGATAAGCCTTTTCTTGTTGGTGGCTTAATTGTTGTATTTGGTATTAAACTTTTAAAGGTCTGTTTAATATTCTGCTAGGCAAGTACATTACACATTGAGAGTTTCGTAATAGTAAATTGTACTCTTGTCTCAGTGTCTGCTTTGATAGGGATGTCTCATCCAGAATTCAATCTAGTCTTGTATGATGCAATTCTTTTGTCTACAATCAGATAGATAAATCAACTTTGTTTTACTATGATATCATATATCAAGTATTATGCAGCTATGATATTATCATTCTGTCAGCCATATATCATATCATGTAATTGTTCCCATCCTTAGTAGCATATGGTATCATATCATAACACATTAAGCCATGATTGAATATTCTGTTATAATCTGCTAGGATCACCTAGGATATGAAATAAGATATGAGGCCTCAATCCTGACCTCTAGGATATGATGTTTTTGCCACCTAGGATATGAAATAAGATTTGACATCTCAGTCCTGACCACTAGGATATGATGTTTCTGTCACCTAGGATATGAAATAAGATATAACGCTTCAGTCCTGACCACAAGGATATGATGTTTCTGCCACCTAGGATATGAAATAAGATATGATGCCTCAGTCCTGACCACAAGGATATGAGTTTTCTGCCACCTATGATATGTTATAAGAAATGACGCCTCAGTTCTGACCACAAGGGATGATGTTTCTGCCACATATGACATTAAATAAGAAATGATAGCTCAGTCATAACCATTACTATTATAATGATGTTTCTTTGGTTACCTTGGATATAACATTTCAAATACTTCTCCTATGATATGATATTTAAATGATTCACCATTGACAATGATACGATAGTAATAGTGGTCAACAAGAATGTAATAGTTAGAATTATAATCAGTTAAGATATAAATTTTAGTATGTCATTGCAACTTAAGATATATAAATTATAAAAAATAATAATTGGTTAAGTTCAATGAGACAGCAAGAATATGATTGTGTTAATCAGTCCCCGGTATTCATCATATAAAATGTACAGCAATATCTTTACAATCTAATTGTTTATCTTAACCTGCAGGTGTTGATTGTTTTGGGTATAAACAGTTACATAAAAGGAGATGTTTACTCCTGTTGACACATAGATAAAAGTTTTGATGCTACCTAAAATTCCAGTGGAGGGATTTAGTTGCCCATTTCATACTTTCTGTCTGTCTATCCACCCTTCTGTCTTCCTATCCTTTCTTTCTGTTTCACTTGCCTTTCTTATTCTTTAAAACACTCCCAGGGGAGCATTACATATTCAGACAATGGGGAGTTAATAGAAAAACTTAATTATTGTAGAATTCTTCCTGTTTTATGTTATTTTTTGCTTTATATGGAAAAATCAACTTTACCAAAAAAGTATTTAGACTCTGGCGATTATTGCACGGTGATGTTGTAAAGGCCCATATTAATTTAATTTCCGACCTGCTTATTCTCATTAGCCAATCAGAGTGCCACTTTTATGGAAGCCTGGAAGCAGTCATTTTGTTTTAACCATTCAGAAATATGGAAACAACAAAAAAACCAAACAAAATTTTAAAATTAACCTTAGGGGTTTAAGTTCAGCTAAAGAGACCCGTAGAAAATTTTTACAACTTTTTGAATTAAATTGACGGAGTTTTCAAATTGGGGGGGGGGGGGTTTATTTTGATCTTTTTTCCTGGAGCCCTTTTTATTTATTTATTCAGATTTTTTTCCCCGAGTATATAAATTATTTAAAATAACCATAATGTTTTGTTTTGGCAAGCTAGCACTTTTTACGAGAATTTTTGTTGTCTTTTTTAATGAGATTTGGAAGAGATAGAAATACCTAAGGGGCTTGTTCATGAGGACTGAGGTTGTTCGGTTCAGGCATTTGTAATTATGGTGTTGTTAGTAGATAGTGTTTGCGTTTTACCAAGAATCAAAGTTCCATTTTGCCTATAATAATGGTTCCCTTTGGTTGAATTTGTATACTGGTTGTTTTTTTTTGCTGTAAAGATTTTGATGTCGAATAATTGTGTCCTGTACTTGACAAATGTGTGTTTTTCTAAGCTAATCACACTTAGTACAAACAAACTTTCACCATTTTAGCTTCCCAGTGCACTACATGTCACAAAAAATTCTAAGTCAATATGTTGCGCTTATTTTTGAAGCTGTAACTGTAAAAGTTTGTTTGTTCCCCAGAATAGATAGGAAAACCCAAGATATTCTTAGTTCCAGAGTTAGTCTATTGTTGCAAAAACATTTCAATAAGATGTTTATATATTTCACTGAAAAGTATAGCCTGAATTTAAATAGATTAAGAATAAAAACACAATTTCTTAAGAAAATTCAAGACACAAAGTTAATTCGACATAAAAAATGGAGTCTGATTGCATAATGTTGTCATTCCATCCTATGATTACATTGTTGTGATTGAGTTGAAATAATATTTTCAGATTCTTCCAATCAGAGTCAATAATAGCTAGCTATACTGGTTTTAGAGCGAACACATTTCTTCACTATGACCTAGATAATATCTAGACATGACTTATTAATTATAAAACATGTTTAACAGCAAAGAAAATACAGTCCATTTCGGACATATCAGCTCAGAGTTATTATGCAAAAATACTCACAATTCATCAACATGTTGTAATGAAGTGTGAAGTGTATTTTTACATGATCATAAATTTTCTTTTCTTTTTCTCATTTCAGAAACTAAGGAAGAATTAGAAGAATGGATGAATGACATTAAAAGAACAGCAAATAAAGTTAGAGCTAAATTAAAGGGTTAGTATGAACTGAAACACAATAATTCCCCCTCCTCATGACATTTTAATGAAGAAAAAAAGAATCTAATTAAAGAATGCACGAGGTTTTAAGAATGCTGAGTGGTAAAAGTTACTTAATCAGTCTAAACAGTTTAAAGTCTTACCTCCCTTGCTGAGCATCGGAATATCATGTTGATGGTTCTACTCGGGTGTCCGTTTGTGCCTGAAATTATGATGAACAGAGGGGCATCAGGAATGATGTGGTGGCTGAACTGTGCTCTAGTAATTTCAATGTGGCTTTCTGCCATTTTCACATATTCCGGAGTGAAAACTACCAACACCATACCACCTGCACCTGAGGTCTTCCTCCACCAGAAAAAGCTGGAAAGTCGACATATGACCTATACTGTGTTGGTGCAATGTATAACCGCACCAAAAAAAAAAGACTGTTGTGTAAGAATCTTTGCTATGGAGAAATGTCCTGCAAGCAAGGTTGATGGTTTTACTCTGATGTTTGTTCCTCAATCTTTGCACAGAAAGCACCGAGTTTTCCTTGGGACTGTAAATTTGGAAAATTTTCATAAATTTAACACTGTCAGATCAAAAAGTATGATAAAGTATAAAGCCATTCCTTAATACAAAGTTATCTCAATCCTACAAGGTTATGAGTTCGTCTTGTAGGTGACAATGTATTTGAAATGAAGAAATCTTTAGATACAAGACTTAATGTAAGTGAAAGTTGTACAAGAAGGGTTTTGTTTCTTCAAGCATTGTTTCTATGAATATCTACAGATTACTTTAGAAAGATTAAGTAGGACTGGTAGGATTTTGTTAGTTTTTCTTTTCATAGCTATTGTGCTGTTGCAGAAAAGGGAGCTAACTAAATACAAAGATTTTAGCTACCTAAAAAAAAAATTTGATGGTTTTATTCAGATTTCCAGTTGTGGGTAAAATTTTGTCTCTGGCGTAAATTTGATCACATGACATCTTTCAAGATTTACTGTTTGAATTTAAAGACCCTGTGTACCTTGTATTAATCCTTTATTGAGACTATTTATATTGAACCAAGTTTCCGGAAAACTATCTGGTGCCAGTCAAACTGACAAGCTTCCGTTTTATTACAGTTTTTATTGGTTGTTTTTTCAGATAACCTGCTTTTGGACTGAATTTAGGCGCACATTCATTTGATTAGCTAAAAGCTGTTGCATAACCTAAATAATGTTGAAAGTGTAATTAAACAAATCAAACAAATTGACAAACAGAGAATAGGAATATTGTAAACCTTGAGTCATTTGTATGATAGATTGTTTGTAGTTTTATTTCTATAGCTGGCCCAACATTCTGTATTGATCCCTCTGTATTCGTACAGATCATTTTATGGTCATGAAACGCAATGGCGACTAGACACAATATCACATCTTTTTTCCCTCTTTTATCACGTTTTGGAAATATATACAGTATTTACTCTTATTAACGCACCTTATCTAAAGCATGCGTGAGCTAGCTTCTGTTAAAAATTCTGAGATATATAATTATTTATGAGAAATGCGTCACTGCAGTTTAGTGCCTTGCAGAGACACAGGAGGTTGTAAAAATGCTTACATAAGTTTATGATGAATGCATTTTTGTCTGATAATCATAGCTTGATAAACATGTAACCTTTCACATGAAGTATATACATGTATTGAGATATAACTCCTGATGTTTTCCCTGTCACTGCGAACAGTCTGTGTCATTATATAAGCTGAAATACAGCGGTTTGTTTAAGAAAAGCCAGAAAATTACTGTTATGATAACTATGATAAATTCCGTAGCCTAACTATGATGATTCCGTAGCTGAAAATTCTACTGGGTACTTTGTATCTCATGCATTTCTTTATTGGTTTCATATTTGAAATACATTTTTAGAGCCAAATCGTGCCTGAGTAATAAACAGAGGGTTGACCCATTGCTGGTCTGTCTGAGAGGTGTCATGTGCATGTAGGTGATGGGCTGGGTGGGTGGGAGAGTGAGTAAGAGGTTCCTTTATTTAAAAGCATCATTATGTTGCTCAAAACCCAGCTGGAAAGTTAAATTTTTATCTGTTTGAACTTATCTGTATCTGTCTTGATACAGATACAGATTTTTTTTGCTGGATTTATTTCCTTATTTGAAACTGTGGCACATTAATTGTTACTGGGTTAGTTTTGGATTGTTTCTTAATAAGAGTCCCAAGCACATTGATTGTCCATGGGCACTTTCCAGTACTGTCCATTAACAGGCCTGCAACATTTTCAATTTTATCGTTTTAGGTGCTCTTAAGGGATTCTATATTTTCTATATTGCGTTTATGTTAGAAACCTAGGTCAAACAAATATTGGTCAGTTATTATAAGTTACTTAACAGTTAAATTCGGGACTTTGACAGAGACATAGTATTTTGTTGGTGAACAGTAAGATTACGTTAACTATAATGAAAATAATCATTTCAAGTATTGTGTTTAATGTAAAAAATTATCATCTTCAACTTTTTTCAATCAGAAATGTTGGAGGAAAATTGCGTGATGTGCCGTTTTCAGCAAGTTTCTCATGGAGAGGTTTTTAGCTCGACTTTTCTATGAAAAGGGGAGCTATCCTACTCGCCCCGGTGTCGGCGTCGGCGTCACACCTTGGTTAAGTTTTTCGTACCACCCCACTTTATTTCAGAAGTATTACAAGTATGGCTTTGAAACTTACCATACTTGTTCACCATCATAAACCTCCATCTACAGACAAGAGTACATAACTCTGTCAAGGTTTTTGACAGAATTATGGCCCTTTTTTGACTTAGAAAGTGTATTGAGCTTGGTTAAGTTTTTGTACCACCTCACTTTATTTCAAAAACCATTGGAGGTATTGCTTTGAAACTGACCATACTTGTTTACCATCACGACCTTCATCAACAGACAAGAGGACATAACTCTGTCAAGGTTTTTGACAGAATTATGCCCCTTTTTGACTTAGAAAATACATTGAATATGGGTAAAATCCACTTATTGCCTTAACCCTTTGAGATATTGCTTTGAAACTTTTAATGCTATTTCACATCATTACCCCCATCTGTACGCAAGAGAAGGTAACTCTGTCAAGGATTTGTTTTAAAAATTAAGGCCTTTTATCGACTTAGAATCTTGGTTAAGTTTTTAGTACCAGTCCACTTTTTGACTGAACTGTTTGAGATATTAATTTGAAAGTTGGAATACTTGTTTACAATCATGATTCCCAAACATGTCCAGGAGAAGGTAATTCTGTCAAAGATTTTATTTGAATTATGGCCCTTAACTGTCAATGTTTTGTATTATAGGCAAGCACTAAAAAACTTAAAAAATCTAAAAAAATTCATTCCTATCCACTTGTTCACTTTACCATAAATTATGTCATATAAACATTGCTGTAATATTCAAGGGTATCAAACAACTAGTTCACTTTAAAAATACAGAGATTCTTGTATTGCCTTTTACTGCAAAAACTTTTTTTATTGGCAAGCAATAAAAAAGTCGAGCGCGCTGTCTTACGGACAGCTCTTGTTTTCTCTCTCTTCACAGGAAAATGCTTATAAATCTGAATTGAAAAAAAAAAGCAATTTTGTTCTGCGATTAAATGCTTGGAGAATAATTCAAAACTTACAAGGTTCTTGATGGATAGGGTTGAATAAGGTCGCAATTTTAGAATGAAAATGATTGGCATCCCCCAAAAAATTCATTTCTTTGATGTTTTTTTTCCTCTCCCAATTGATGTCTTACATCATTTTACTATTGGCAAAGTCATTTTAAACATTTTTTTTCCCCCAATTCATTTAAATGCCATAATGTGATGAATGACAAAATTCCATTTTGTATATCAGTCTTTTATGCAGTTGACTTCATAAAATGGCAAATTGTCATTTTGTACATTTTTTTTTTCAATTCAATCTTATGCTATGGTTTATCAATGGCATTTAAATGATTTTGTACATTTTTCTCCAATTTATTTGTATGTCTACATTTTTGGGGGGGATTTCATAAAGGGGAAAAAAACATCATTTTTTTACACTTTTCCCCAAATTTTCATTCAAATTTTATTATCAAGTATTTTAAGTAAATTAAATTCTTTTAAAGGGGAAAAACGAAAAGCAAACTCCTTTTTAAATTTTTTTTATACAACCCATGTGAAAAAAATTTATTCATTTTTTAGCTTAGACAAGAACAATGTTTTGTTTTCTTTTTGGTTTTTATTAGGAATACAGCATAAAGGTTTGAAAAAAAGGGAACTTTCCCTTGATTTTTTAATTTTTTGAATGAGACAAATTTACCCCAAACTTTGAAATAAAAATTGAGCCCTTGGGGACTTTTTTTTCCCCTTTGTTAAAAGAAACTTTATTGAAAGGCCTTAGTTTCAATATAACCCCTTTCCAAGATATTTTAAGGGCCCATTTCAAAGATTTTGAGAAAAATTTTTTTTAACAAAAAAATTACGGTTAGTTAATCCCTTAAGTTTTTCAAGTAAATTACAGGGTTTTAAATAGCAAGTTTGGGTTTTGAAAAGCTTAGATCATGATGTTTTTAAAACCCATCCCCACCATTTTAATCTAATAGACTTTTCCAATTTAAAAAACCATTCACCCTTTTACCCCAAAATTTTAAAAAATATGTTGTACTATATAAGAAATTTAAACAACTGGGGAAACCCAAATTATTTGGGGCATGGGCGGCTGGCTGATCTTGGGTCTGCACGGGAAACAAATGCATGGAAATTTTTCATTTGCACCCAGCTCGCCCGTAGAGTTATCAACTGTTTTTAAATTTTAAACCATACAAATTTTTTTTAAGGGATTCTAAATTGTAGTGCTTAAACCCAGAAAACCTTCCCCGCATTCCCTTTGGTCATGTTTTTTTCCCCACCACTTTTTGGGTTTTTGAGAAATTTCTGGGTTAAAAAGGGACTTCCCCTCTCCCATCTTTTCTGAAAACACACTGCAAATTATTTTCCAATAAACAAAAATTTTTGGAAAATTTGAAATTTA